AATTGTACTGTTTTGAAAGAAAAATAATCAGCAATTTAATTTACTTGCTTAAACTCCGTTATTACATATTTTTGTATGCGATGTTTTGCCAAAAATAACCATTTGTTTAGAAAAATGTGGGAGCGCAGGCTACTGAAAAACAAAAAAAAAATGGTTTAGTTATTGAAAATAACAGAAATTTAAATAATTTTTAAAATTTGGTAAGCACATACATGCATATTCGCTCATTTTCAAGTATATATATTTTTTTGTATTTCGCATATTTATTAACTTAACTCTCCTAATATCACTATTATTTACACGTATTAGATAGCAGTAAAATATATATATTTTTTTTTGATTTTTTTTAAATTCTTTCCTAAAAAAGTTTTAGTAATTAAATCCATATTTTCAAGCTTCGTTGAAAATTTTACATCAAAAAGTGTATATTTTTATATCTTCAAAAATCGGCAGTATGACAGTGGCAGTACAATATTGAAAAAAGAAAGTTGTATGTACATATGTACATATGTATGTAAAATAATACATATGTTATAGAAAAGAGAGTGAGCTAATTAGTTGTTTACATTCTATAATTTATTGCTTTTGAACATTTAATACGAAGCTAGTTCATTGAATTTCGGTTTTATTTTTAACGGTGTTTTTTGCTTGAAAATGACTAATTCTTTTTCGATGTGTTAGTTTCACAAAATTAAGTTAAGCGAAAAATGATTTTTTTTTTTTATTTGAATGTGTTATGAAAACTGACAGACGGGAAAAACATGTTTCACTTAAATTACTAGTTAAATGGGCAGTTAATGTATGTATATTAGCGTGTCAGACAAAAAAAGTCGCAGTTTTCCAAAAATCGAGTTTTTGTTATATGTAAATAACATTAGTTTTTAAATGTATTTTTTCCAATAAGTGGCCCCTGATGATAGCAGAGTTTAAGCGTAAAAGGTCTGTACTTGAACACTTTATCGACGGAATCAAAATAATCGGCCTTTCTCGCAATTTGTTTTTGGTTTGCCTGTCAATGGGAACGATTTATTCACATGGAATTAGCGATAAGGCTGAATGAGATTTCTGAAGTTGTTTCAAAATCGGTTCAGCTCGCGTAAATCTTTATATTTTTCCGAAATCTTAAAATATAAAAAAATTTATAATTCCGATGGAAAACATACCGATTTTTTTTTGTATTGAGATTGGTGCACCTTCAAGTAGATTTGATAGACATATGTACATAAATCCCATTTCTTTTATTTCGAAGTGTAGTGGGATTATGAAAATTCGCTGCTCTTAATTTTCGTCTCCGGAATTCTTTCAAAGGTAATCGGCGGTGCCCAAAAGTATGCAACATGAAGAAGTAAGAGATTCAATGTGTAATCAGCCGAATCTGGCAGTATGAGGGGCATGTAACTAGATTTTGCATTTTGTTAGGCGCGCCTGCTATTCTTTTCCATATTTTTGGCGATCAAAATTAGCTATAGCGAATGTTGGAATCCGACTGCAGCTAGCTAGTGATTAAAATAAGTGAGATCAATATTGACAATTTCAAACACTATACCCTTGATTCAGATTGACAATCAGTAATAGTCTTGATCAAAAACTGAGAGCTAGATCCACGCAGGTTATTTCACTCGATTATGACCTGTTATGATTGAGCGAGACTACTGGGACAACCCAATCTGAACAAATCTGGAATACAAAACCTCCAATTGTTAGAAATTTGGCTACTAAAGCGCAAGGTTGGTGTGGGCAATGAGATCTTGCCGCTCATGTTTCTTTCCTACTGACCGCTATATAACATACAATATATTTATAGCTGTAGAACTACGAAAAATCGAGCTCCCATCTGCCAAACTTCGCGATTATTCCCAGGGGGGCTACTCTGTCATGCGATACGACAGAAAAATGCGATGCGATAGGCAATCACCCCTGTGTATTACTTACGATGAGTTTGCGCGAATGCTAATCATTTGTTTTCGCATCGCATTACAGAGTAACCCCCCAGATGTGAGTATTCGCTACAGCTAGGCAGGTTCTGCAATTCACTTCCGAGTGAATCGGGCGGAGCCGAATATTAAATACCAGTCGGAAGTATTCAATATAGTTTTTCACCTCACCGAAAATTACCGCTACATGGCAAGCAAGGGTGGTTTTACATCTACATATTTTAAAAAGTTTCGGTAGAACGTTCAGTTACACATAATGAGATAAACTTATATATTTAGATATATGTATGTGGGCGGTATCACGCCCTTTGGATTGTTGTTAGTATCAATTTTGAGTAAATTAGCTTCCTAAAATTTCGAAATATCGAAGTTTCAAGCAAATCTGAATTTTATCGTTATTTGAAAAGTGGGCGAAATTTTAGTCCGTTTGAATCGGCAGCTGAGATAGGCCGATCTTCCACTCAGCCGTCGATATGAACTTAGGTTTAGCAAAAAAAAAAAAAAGATTGCTTCTAAATTGCTTGCAAAAATACTTGAGACCAGGGTGTAATGGCGAACTTTTTTTGCTTGTTTGTAAGGTGGTATGGTCTACTACACATGCATATCTGTGATCCATTATTTGACATTAAATTTGAATGTATTTGTATCGAAGCAGCTCCTCCTAAGTATATATATGTATGTACATACTTATTTTAAATGTAAGCATACGCCTTTTAATAAATCTATTACATATTTGATTGTATTGATTACCTGTTACGTACATATTGCTTTTCTTTACACAAAAAAAAAAATAAAATAAAAGAAAATTTTTAAGAAATTAAATACTATTTACTGGTTCCAACTACTTACGTACATCAATTACTTAAATGTTTAATATTTTTACATACATAAATCTATATGAATACATTTGTATATACAAAATTTATTTCAAGTTTATGCACTCTTTCTTCAATAATTACTATTTTGCTAATATTTTAACTAATCGTTGATTTGATATGCTAATTTGCTTGCATTGCATATTTTACCAATTTTTGTAACTATTTTGTATGTATGTATGTATGTATGAAGATATTACTAAGTATGAATATGGACTTTTGCATTTTGTATTTTGCAAGCAAGCGCACCTTGGCAATTTATATTATAAATACATTTTCAAAATTATACACACATATGCGCACATATTTCATATACATATGCAGGTATTGAAAACAATTAATTTTAAATTGAATGCAATTTATTGCTTGCTTTTTGTTTTGGCAAAATTTTCAATACAACTTTTGGGCGCAATTTAGATTTGTTTTTGCTTTTTAAACTTTTTTGTTCTTTTGTTTTTATTTTCTATGCAAATTCAGAAGAATTCATTTTGAGCATAAAACTATCGATTGTACATTGCTATTGAGTGTATGTGTGTATGTGTATGTATGTATGTGTCGTACTTTTAATTGATGATTTTGACAATTGCAGTAATTTTTGCATCCAATTTTTGGGCATGCATGTCTACATATACAAAGCTATACATACATATGTACATATATGTAGTGGCTTTGTGTGCGTGTTTATATTTTTAACAATATGCTTTTGGTGCTAGCATTCGCAAACAGGCGTTTTTTTTTACACAATTGCATACATCAAACCAAATGTATGTATGTATGTAGATATGTGGGGAGTCGTTCTTTTGCGAGTAATAATAGAGTGCAAATGTGCTGCTTCAAGCCGTAAGCGGAGCGTTTCATTGAAAGTAATTTACTTGAAAAATATTCGTAATTAAATGCATATATGTAGTTACGATTTTTATTTTTTATGAAATTTATTTTCTAAAATATTGCGTTTTTCATACGCAAAGTTACAATTGGACGGCTTGGCTTTCTGTAGACTTATAGCATTTGGCCGGGTGTGTGGTTGGAAGAGTTGATGCGGTTTGTGCAAAAGTTTAATATTTTTTTTTTTTCAAAAAATTTTATTTCAGCTCACCATTCTATCATGCATGAAAAAATTTTGGTTTGATTTTGCTTCATCGGTGGTTTTGTGTAACTTTATTAAATATGTAAACGTAGAGTGTGAAACATTTTATTTTACAAAGAAAATATATACACCCGATATCATCGATACGATATCAAAATTATAAGCGCACCAAATATTAAAAAGTTTTAACAACCAGCCTTATCATGAGTTTAATTTTCACCGAACCGGTCCACTTTTCGTTTCCGTGTACTTAGTTCGAGCGGATGGAAAAATTTCGGGCGCATTTGCTTTCGGCTGAAACGTGCGATAAGACTGAATTTATATTTTAGTTATTTAATTTTAATTATTTTCTTCCATACAAAGTATGTTTGACAACAAAAAAAAATTCCAAAAATCAACAACAAGCCCCACCTACTTCGGAAAGGTCTTCATTATATTGAAATTGAACCCGCTACAATACTGCATACTCAAGATTTTTATAAAAAATCGATTTAAAAAACTTGAAATATATACGAAAGTATGTTGAATTCTTTAAAATATTGCACAAAGTTTGAAACACGTATATATGGATTAATTTTCTTAATTAAAATTTAATAAAAAAAAATAAGTTTTTAAAATTTTCCAATACGTGATGCACTCATAATTTTAACATGGGGTGTACATATTTAATTTAAATAGTATTGTAAAAATATTACTAAAATTATGTTATTGAAATTTTACAACTAAAACTGTATTCAGTGAATTTATGCTAAATGAATAAACCTAAAAGTGATGTTCGTAAAAATACGTAAGCAACAACAAACAAGTTTTTAAAAATGCATTACTTTACGCATATTGTTATTGTTGCTTCTGGAATGTTAAAGTAGTAAGATCAAACTGATATGTCTGGTAACTCTTGGCTTGTTTTTTGTGGCTTTGTTGCACAAATAAATAGTTGTTCTTAAATCAAAGCTTAATTAAATTTAAAATCAAAATAATTAAATGAACACATGTAATATTTTTTTTTTTAACTCAAAATAAATGATATAGTAATATTAAACTAAACTAAAAAGACTGAATTAACATATTTATTAATTTAGTGAATTTCTTAAAAATTTAGCGAATTATAATGAAAGCATTATTGTATTAAAAACATATTTACCGTTAGCTTGCAAAACTTGAAAATTATACAAAAAACAATAGGCATCTTCATCTTAAGTCATAAATTTTCTATAAATGTTATAAATCAATAAATTCGTAAGGAAAACCGGTTTATTTATCATTTTATCACGTTTATTGGCAGTTTATCTCCTTAGATGAAGACGCTATTATAACTTAGTTAAATGTAATATTTTGAAACATATTATTAATGATGCAAATTTGATTAACAAGTCAAATCAGCAAACTTCGAAAAAAATGAAAAGAGGCGTGAAATGGATACTCTGGCGTATTCATTTCATAAATTTACCAAGCCTAAAACACGAAAAAAAAGCTTAGGTTAGATCCAGTTAGAATAGGTTAAGTTTTAGTTTAGTTCAGGCTAGATAGCGTAAAATTAGCTTACAATAGCAGAGGTGGCAAAATTCGTCTGCTAAAAACAGATCCCGTTGTGGTGGGTATTGCTAGATTCCTAGCCCTACCCTTTAATGTTTTCAATCTAATACGATCATTTGCAGAATCCAAGCAGTTGTTGCAATCCACTTTGCTTAAACACTTGAAATCTTCGAACAAGTAGTTCCACAACAAAGTACTGAATAGATTCTTTATCATATCCTACCACCACAGTATGTCAAATTTTATTGCAATATTAACATGAAATTGTAGAAATCCGATCATAAAAAAGCTCAAAAAAAGTTTGCACAAAAATGCCTTTAGATCAAAAACTTGAGACTTATGAAAGTGCGCGCTTTAAATACCGCCAAAGGAAAATTAAAAGATAAACGCCCGATCTAACCCCTTCTAAATGAAAAAGTATACATATTTATGTATATAAAAAAGTTAAAATTGAAATCTAAAAATAGGTCACTTTTCTAACCAAAATGGCATCTACGGAGGATTGTAAAGCCCATACACACAACTAAACTGTGCTAAATTTTTCATATCCATCATCCCCTTCTAAAATGGAGGGAAATGTTTTTACAGAAAAAAAACGCAAAAAAATATGATCTACCAAATTGGGAAGCTGTATCTTCCGGTTTCGACCGGAAGTGGGCTAAAGTGACCGAAAGTTAATTTTTTTTTTTAGATTAGACAAATATAAATGTTTTTACTATAGATTCGTATGCTAAGTATAAAAATACGTAAAAATTGGTTTAAACTTTTATCATGGAATTGTCTGTTTCGACTTCTAAATGGTCTTCGAACTTCATATCGTCCTAGGCTTCTTAAATGAGTGAATAGTTTTTATTAGAAAACGAAAAAAAATTAATTACCGTGTCGGAGTTGCTCTAACTTTTGTTCATATTACTGAGTTCCGGTTTCGACTGGATGTGGCTGTGTTCAAAATTTGAGACAAATCGAAGGCCAGCAAATCGTCACTTTTTGGTTACATTTATTATGGAATCGCCGTATAAAAAAAATAAAAAAATAAAAGAGCGGTACAAATGAAAAAGGAAATCAGTACATATGAAAATAAGCCAAAAATAAGTTAAATAAAAAGAGTGGATATACTTATGAATTTAAACAAGCTAATTACATCTTTTATGAATTCATGAGTTATGAGCCAGATTAGAAATAACAACAAAGAAAATTATTAGATACATAATATTTAATAATTCAAAAAATCCAGTTTTTAAAAGTTAAATAGAAAATAACTAAATAATAAATATTTTACATGCCATTGCTGTTATAAAAAGAAATTATGTGAACTTATGGTACATAAGGGGGAAAAAAACAATTAAATTTCAGTTAGACAATAGTTATGCATTTCCGTATCTAAATAACTTAAAGTTAAAGAATTATTAAATAAACAAAATAATATACATAAATGATGTATACAAAAAAAAAAAGAAGCAATGTGAGCAGCTTGTTATTTTATTATGTAAATATTCCAGAGAAAGTTCACTACACACATTGCTCTGCTTATTCCTTTTTGAAATTCAGTATTTATGCATGTTTGCTGTTTGCATTTCCTATCATCGTTCTGCATAAATCTTCATTGTCTATAGTTAGCGATTCATTGTTTTGTTACTTCAATCAGTTCTTTTGTTTTATTCTTCTAAGTGTAAATGTTGTTTGTGTGTGATGTGTGCGTGTTGAGTTTAGGTGTTTTTATTATTATTATTATTTTATTTTCGTTTTGTCTGTCGCTCACTTCTCCTTAAGCTCAAAATGAATCTTCTGAAATATGTCCTAGAAGCGATCCTTGGATGTTGCGCTATACTCGAGCTCATTTAGATTTTGTATTTCCTGCAGCTCCTGGAATTTCTCATGATCCCTTATGTGCGCATAATTGGCGGCTAGACACATTAGATAGTGTACCAAACTCAGTATGACAAGCAAAGCAGCCAGTGTGGCGAGAATGAACATAACTTCGGCATTCTCGACGCCATCCTTGCAGAAGGCTTTAATCTCATATTTGTCGCAGATTTTCATATCTTCTTGTTTGGTGTTGGGCGGGAACATGAAATCTGCAAGAGAGCAAGAGAAGGAATTGTTTATTTAATGTTTATATAGTTAATTATGAAAAGTTTATCATTTATTGAGAACATTAGCTATTTAATTAACATCTGGATGCTATCTAAATTAGGGTGGTACTTAAATAATAGCAACATCTAAATTTAAAAATTCTAAAAAAATTTTTAGGGGTGAGTACCAGGGTTTGGAAAATTTTAAATTAAAATACAAATAGCGAGAACTGGACAAAATTTTGAATTGAAATTTGATAAATTTGAGATATTATTGAAAATTATTCATAAAAACTTGCCAAAGGCAACTTTTTTTCGAACATTTGCAATTATTAAGAAATTTTAAAATTTCGTGCATGTCTTTATTTTGTATGTAGAACAAAATAACGCGCTACCTTATGATGTTGATATCTTAAGGCCCACCCTAAAAATATCTATGCATTGGTTCTCGACGCCTATGCAGTGATCATCCCTCGCTAATTAAATAATTATGCAGACCTCCGGAAACATAGATTTCTTTTGACGTAGGAACATCCATCAATGTTTTCAAACTAAAAGCGCAGTTAGTCAACGACGTAGCGTAAACGTAGGTTGACGTACGTAGCAGCATATAAAATTTACTGTTGAAAAAGAGAGAGAAAAGAAACGGCAACGTCACCGCCATGCGGTGGTGAGTTTTCGTCAACACGCGCATCCCATAAGGTAGATCGTGTCTGCGTCAACCTACGTCTACGTTACGTCGTTGACTGTTTGCGCTTTAAGGCTCAGCGCGCACATTCTGATAGTCTGAAGTGACACTGCAGCTGAAACAAAGCAGCAAGTACTTTGGAATACAAATCGATAGCAAACTGACGTGAAGCCTCAATGTGGACGTGTAGGCGTAGAAAACCTCGGTTGCGTTCTATGTATGAAAAAAAATATGCTGGGCTGCATAAGTGTGGGCCATATCGGCTTCTCCCTTTCACAGGATCCTCACGACAATGGTCATAAAAAAGAATAACACTTCTATCATCGAAGGCATCTTCCGCTAGCGGGCCTCTCTGCCAAGAATATAGTATTTTCGCCTGGTTTAAAGTTACAGTTTTTTCGCACGTCCTAAGGGTCCCAGTAATATAGCAAACAACTCTCTGAACGGGTTGACTACGTGATTCCGGGCCTGTATTTTGAAAGGAATTTCGGAGCCACGATTGAGTTCATAGACGCGAGTTTGAGAACGACTAACACTTTAAATTTTTACACAGATGGATCGAAACTGGATAACAGCGTAGGTTTGTTGGTTGGTAGAAGCGTATTCTCTGGAATGCTTGTTTTTTTTTGTTGGTTTCATGATTCGTCAGTTTCTTTAAACCATTTGGATGTTTCGATGAATTTATTTAGGCTAGTTATGGTGCATTTGGAGATCTCCTTAGGATTTTGGATAGTAAAACTCCCTAGTATTTCATGCCTTACTCGTGCCAATGCTAGGCACTCGCAGACAAAGTGTAGGATCGTTTCCTCACTTCCCGTAGGATCACAGCTACTGCCCCGAGGGTTGTACGGAAAGCCTTTTTAGCTACGTGTTCGCCAATGGGCCAATGTCCCGTTATCGTGGCTGTTAACTGAAGTTCTTCTGTCTTTGGTTTCTCATAATGCGGACATATATTCCTCGCCGTTTTGCAGGCTTGAAGGTTGTTCCAACATACATATATCAGTCATATGTACAGATTGCAAATACAGTTCTCATTTGATAAGTCCGAGTGGACAGTTTATTATCTCTGCTTCGGATTCATCAAGAGATGCTCCGGCCTTTGCCAACTCATCAGTCTTCTCATTTTCGTGTATGTGGAAACCCAGATGGGTAAGATGTCTATTAACTCGGCCTATAGTCGACTTATAGTTGCCGGAATATTGTAGCATTTTCACTTCCTTAAGAAGTGTGGAAGCGTGCAGTACTATGGGTGAACTATATGCTGGTGGAATTATGTATACGCACCCAGGTGCCCAGGATTATGTATACTGTGCTGCCAGTGTCCAGCCGATAGCATGGTGCAAATTAGTCTCTGGCAGTAGTTTTTCTGGTAACATCTATAGCGTTCATTGTTTTTTCCAAGCCCTGCCATAGTTAGAAAGTCTAGCCTAACCTATAGATGGTTTTAAGCTCGGGTCGAATTTTTATGAACACGAATCTAGAGACTGATGTACAGAACAAAGTTGAATTAAAGGAAGGATGGAAGAAACCATTTTTTCTCGACGCTCAAAAATAGTATGCCAGTTGATACTTTTTGTAACTTATCAGCATTAATCCGGAACCCAAAAATTACGAGTGAAAAGAAAATCGATAGTCTGTTCTAGAAAAGTAAGTAGTTTTCTACGAAAATACGGAGTGTGACTCAGCCAAATGGTAAACTATTTTCATTTCAAGGTTATCAATAAAAGGGCGTTTCCTTTATTTATTACTTCTGACAATTTTAGTTCAAGGAGTGATTCCTTCTAAGATGGATATCGTTTGAAATAAATTTTATAAGCCAGTATTGAATTTTTTTACGAATATAACATATGCACACACATACCTATGTATAAGATTATATTGAATTTTTACTTACGAAACTGTGTTAAATCAATGCAGCTGAGCGAACGTTCCACACTTGAGCACATATTCCAGAACATCGTATAGATAAAGGTGACTATGACCAAGAAGCATAGAATTAATATCCAAACAAAGTTTAGCAAATATGTGATGCCCATGAACTGAAACAGAAAAATATAGAAAACCAGTGTTTTGGTTAAATAAAAAGATTTCCAAAAACCTAAAATTAAAAAATTTCACTTTTCAAATTGCAATAAATATCTTATAATGTACATATAATAAAATTGTAACAGGCCGATGTCTGTACATTATAGATATTAAAGAAACGCTAATATGGAGGTCTTTATTGGAGTAACAGAAGTCATAATCAACAATTTTTATAATTTTTGTCTGTCTGTCTGTCTGTATGTTTGTTGCATCACTCGAAAACTAATCCGTGGAATTGAATGCGGTTTTCACCGATTTATTTCTAGAGGTCTAACCTAAGATATAGAAAAAAAAATAGAAAGTTGCCACCCGTTCGAAAATTGTTGTTTAAGTAATCCGATAAGATAGGGTAAATATTGCAATATGGCTATCAAAAGAAAGAAGTGTTAGCCGAACATATTTTTGTTGAAGGTTGCCAAATGTTTGTTTATTTAATTGATAAAAAATTGAACATTGCAATACGGGTATCAAACATCACAAAAATACTTTTAAGGCGCAGTGAAGCACGCCGGGTATTTGCTAGTATATATTATTTTGGCGCTAAAACTTTTGCTAAGAGTTTGGCCGAGCTTCTCCTCCAATTTTCGGTGTGCGTCTCGATGTTGTTTCACAAATTGATAGTTTAACGCCGCCTCGGAACGGCGATTGTATTTTTATGAGGAGTCTTTTCATGGCTGAAATACACTAGAAGAGGTTTGCCATTGCCTGGCAAGGGGAGCGACCGCTGTCAAAGAAAAACTTTCTATGTAGTCTGATTTAATTTTCAGCTGACCTAACGTCTACGGGTTGGCCTTCATAAATGCAATACTATTCAAGTACGCTACACGCTTTCACGTTAAAATTTCCAAAGATACATTCATGTCTCGCTTTTGTAGAAATACTCAAACAAGGCTTCAAAGCAAAAAAAAAAAAAAATTAACAGAAAATATTTCAATTAGACAACAATCAATTGCAGTCGCCTTCTTTTGTCTTTGATTAACGCTTAATTAAGTTTTGAAACTTTTCGCGGGCGAAATGCGTTTTTAATAGTCGGTAAGTTGTCGACATTGATATCTGTATGTATGTATGTATATACGTTTTCGAGTAGTAGTTAGCAATATTTAGGAGTCTGTTAGTCAGTTCATTGTAACTTTATACACAAATAAACCCTTTTTTGTGCGTGGGTGTGTGTGCATACAGTCAGCAGCAAAAATATACATACCCTGGCGTTTTGACGATTTTATTTGTTTATAGTTTCCCTACCAAATTTTTCTTAATATTTTTTATAAAAATATATGTAGTTTATCAATTTATTTTTTATAAAAATATATGTGGTTCAAGAAATACCAAGAAATTTTTTATCGAAATGTAAAGTTTTTCAGTGCGATATCATAGAAACATTTTGAAAGTACAGTCTACTAACCCACTCAATTTTAGTTTAATAAAGTGCAAGTTTCAAAACTATCGTTGATTTTTGAGACTTTTTTGTGGAGGGTGTACGTATCTTCTTCTATATAAAAAAAATGATTCTTGCAGTTTTTGCTGTTGAATTAACTATATTTTTTATAAAAAAAAAGAAAAATTAAATATGTAAATAAAATCGTCAAAACGTCATGACGCCTATTTTTGACGCTGACTGTGCTATATCGCAGACAATATCGGTGCAGTGAAAATGTCGCATCAACTTAATTTTTGTACTTTTTACTCCTATTTGGTTGCCAGTTGGCGATGAGCCACCACCATCTCTACCATTATTCTCCCGCTGCTCATCCCGATCAGTTATTCGACTTCAGAACTTCACAACAGTAAATACTCGTAGTATGTATGTACATATGTATGTATCTGTATGTTTTAGTTCTATTTTGTCTACTACTTTCCTTCAACGCTTGGTTAGTTGACTGGCAAGTATTTTCTTTTAGTTTTTTTTTGTGTTTCTTGCTTTTAATTTTGATGTTGTTTTAGTTTTTGCCTTTTACTTACCACGGCACACGAGATGCGCCCACCCACTCGTGAACGCCACGCGCGATAGACCTTGTATCGTGTCGCTCCAGTTGCTAGGAAACCAACGAAGAGTATCATAAAGCCAAGCGCCGCCATTCCCGCAGCAATTATGACGAAAATCATTTGAATCGCTTCAATCCTGCAAAATGAAATGAATGCGCAATTAGAGTTGGTTACATTTGTTGCAGAAATATCCGTTTCGGGTGCATTTTTATGTGCTGTTAATGTATACTTAAATGCAAAAATTATCCGTATTATATCAATGTTGTACGCATAATTGCAGAGGGAATTTTAATACATACGAAAAAGCAAATAAATCAACAGATATTAAATTAAAAAAAAAAACATTATCTTTAAGCCGAATCTTAATTCCAATTTCGTTCTTAGATTCCAGCGCTTGGCTATTCAAGGCATAAACTTAATGATAATTTGCTGAAAATTATTCGCGGATTTTACGATCTCTATTTTGGTTGCTTTGGAAAATTTTCTGGTTAGAGAGTTGTAGGTATCTTTAGCTAACTATAGACCCACTCTTCGCTATATGAGGGCGAAAAATAGAAGGAAATCTGAAATAATCCAGTTGCAAGATCTTTGAGGGCTGCATTGGATCGGAGGCGATTGAAACAGCTTATTAGGCTCGCAGATGCAAAAAAATGATGAGCTTAAATCACCTCAACATCTTTTAAAAACTAGCCAAGTTTTTGCGAGAAACGATCATATTCCATACACGGCTGGGACGTTATGTGAGATAATGACTACATTTATTATTATTAAATATAAAGTAGATTTCAATTGGGACAGCCACTACGTCAAAGTCTACTCTCTAATGTTTGGTGGATGTTCGAGACGACCAGTTTGGAAGAAATCTGGCAAAAGCCGTCCCAGATTTCCGAGTTTTGCGTTAGAACTTGAGTCTGCACACGTAAAAAACCCAACTGATGAACACATGAATTAGGCCATCAAGATCCTGCGATTTTACGCCAATAGAGTTTTTGTGGTAGGGTTTTGTGACTTTGCATGTATTTACCAATGGAACACCGAAAGAATAGGGGCCATTGAGCTAAAAAAAGTGGGCGTGGCCAGCCCCCTTTTCCTGGCTTGAATGGCATATTTTTTTTGGGTGCAAATTAACAAACTGAAACTTAAGTGGATCCCCAGTTTTTATTTAAAAAATGTCTCTTCAATTGCATAAATAACCTTTAAATAAAAGAACCGGATTACAGAAAAGTGTGCCAGGGAGTGACTTTTTTCGTTCAAGCTGAACGCAAAGCAGTATCGTCCAATTGGAGAGTCCTCAAAAGGATTTCCCAGGCTATGTTAAAGACTATTGCATTTACCTACAGTCACTTTTTCACATAATGGAATTAACTAAAAGATTTATGTATATCTAAACACTTATTGCACACCCCCTACTTTCGTATAACGGCAAATTTAGAAACTGCGAAAAATGTGCTTCTTCTGTAACTAATGAAATCATTCCGCACCAATTTGCAAGACTGCATAAATGGACTCAAAAAGTGGCGTTTCTCACCCTAATTGTATTATGTTAATGTATGTAAATACTTATATGCTTGAAACTACTATTAACTCATCTAACGATTCCTAATCTTTGACAATACATGCTTGACTTCATTCACCACGATCTTGAAAACTGACCCAATCGGCGTGACCAAGTTCATGGTCCTTTTAATATTATATAAACATCCGAAATTATTAAAATGTTTGAAATAAATTTCGTCTCACTTTTCTTGTATTTTTCACTTCGTTGCTGAAGTACTTAATGAAGAATTGAAAATTCATCAGGGAAAATTATAGTTTTTGTAAGTTTTATCTTAATATCTTAAAAACTTGTAGACTTATTTAAAAATGATAAATGAACGTGATGTGCTAAATTTAATAACCCATAATTTGATATATCGTCCTGTTTATAAAAATTTACTCATTCCATAGATATTGTAAACCAAAGTTTCATTTTCAAAATTCATACACTTTGATTCAATCGTACGGGCTAAAGATAAGTTTTAAATTAATTTTTCGCGGCCAATAACAATTGGCGTAGATCTAAGACATCATCATATTACTAAATATTACAATACGGTCAAATGTCTTTTATTTTCCTCCATACAAAATTGACCCAGCCTAATGTATATACCTAACAGGACTGAAAGTGAGCTGCTCCCCAAAGGAGCAGTACAAAAGTAAAGTAAACAAAAGTATTTAATTTCTATCAATGCTCAGAAATAAATATCACTTTGATTAGAGACATAAAGTATTTTCTTTTGAAAAAAAGTTAATTTATGTACAACCATGTATGTATGTATGTATGTGTTTTCATATGTATATCATATAATAAAGCCATCAAACGGTTAAAAAAAGACGCCATTATTTTATTAAAACAAAAATATAATACAAAAATTTAAATTTGCATGCATCGCTTTTTAAATGCTTTAGCGCTTGCCAAGGGCTTCTTTTGATGACACACATGGTTCAAATACAATTAAGTGTGAAATTAGGAAGGGAGCGCTTACTGCTGATTATGGAGCGCTCCAATAGCACAAATGGAGCGCTTCTAGCCCCGTTGGGTACAGCTACATACATATGTATATGTACATATGTGTATAATAACCCTGCAGTAAAATTTAGAGACAGTCTAGTTCCGAACTACAAATTTCAGAACTATCTCTGAACTGTGGCAAAGCGACTGCAGAGCGGGACAGTTGAAACTTGCGGTGTAAGTGTACAAATTCTCACTTCCCGTACAATATGAAAGTAGCTCAGCTAGAAGACCTCCGACTCAAGCATCGTTGGTCGCGAGTTCAAATCGCGGTGGAGGCAGTTGTGAGTTTTCAGATTTAATGAATTTAAATTGTTGCGTGTCGCTTACAATATATTTTTTTTTATAAAAAATGTAACAAACGAGGAATCTGTAAAAGAAAAGAAAATGCGGAAGAGATATCCAAAAATCGAATCTTAAAAACGGTTTCTTATAAAAAAAAACCTGTCCAAACGACAATTGCCACCGCTAATGACATCGCCATGTAAAACTGAACAGCTGAAAGCATTGCTTGGGTGTTGGGCTAGATCTAGTTCTATGCTAGTGAGATTTTCTGCAGGGAAAACTCGAAAACCCGCATAAATTTACCCCCATACCTCAGCATGTATCCGTAAACAGCTGCACATTTCTCAATCGCATTCTATCAAACACCACGTCGTTTTAGACACACATCAGAGTGTGGACGATGTAATTGTAATTATCGTATGCACATTAACACATTTGGTTTGAAATTAACAACTTCCAAATACTGATGGACCATTTCGCATGGTCAGCCCATCAGCAGGATGATACAAATTATACTGACATACAAATAGAAATATGTATACCGATAAACCACTATACCCCGATAAGTACAGATATGAATACTCACCAAATTAGATGCAAATGAAACACTTGATCCATCATAATCACCGTCAACGAGGCGCCACGATACATTGTGCCACAGAATATGCCAACGCCAAGCAGACACATAAGTGTCGCTATTAATGTGGCATAAGGAATGCGGGACATACATGATTGACAGCAGTCACCTGTAATGAAGGTGGAAGAGAGAGAGAATAGATGAGTACGGTGGAATAATGCACAAATCAGGTATGGAGTTAAATATAAAGGTACAGTTCTACATAAACATAACTATGATCCATCTATGAACATATGTACATCTATACATATACATACATATAAATTGAACTTAACCTACCTAGCAAGAATGACCTAACGCATGCAACAATACACTAACGAAATTGTCAATAAGAACCAACACATTTGCATATTAGCCATATCCATATGCCATTCTTTGCGTTATATAACATCGCATAACAATATTTGATTGAAAAGAGACAACTACATATAGGATAATATCAGTGGTCATAAGCAATAATCGCCTAAGTTGAAAAGCCTGATCTAGAGAAAAAACGCTATAAAGATTTGGGTTGTAATGTTAACATTATGGGGAAACCAAAATATTTTCATCTATAACTTTTTAAATAGCCTAGGTAACGAGATAGAAGTTTCACAAACACATGGAATAGTGGTTGCAGAAATCGATAGCATATATAACTTAATTCTTTCTTAAGCGGTTATTGCTATGCTTATTTGGGTATGGCTTGCAAAATTGGTTGTTTTTATGGATATATGCCAGCATTTTAATGATTTGAACGTAAAGCTTTAAGGCTCTAATAAGTTATTGGTAAAGATATTGACGCGTATTCATAGTCGAAATAAAGTCGACTCTAAATTAAGTAGCAGCCATTTTGGGAGATATTACATTGATAATTATGGCAAAAAGTTGCGATTATTTGTAGTGTCGTCTTTTTTTACTATTATTATTTCCACATTTAAAATCATATTTGGATTTGGATGAAAAACCAGACGGATCAAGGGTCACTGAAGAGTTTTCTGTGGTAATAAATTCATTCAACGACGAATTTTCATCGAGGTTTTCTGAATTCAACGCGCTATTGGAAACATTCACTTCACTTGATAAACTGAACTTGTTTCATTTGCTAATACTAAAATTTTGGAAACTTGGAATTTAATTCCAGACATATTTGATGTCTGCAGAAGCTGGCGTTTGCACACAAGGTACACAGAGACATTTGAGAGACGAATAATTGATTTTTTTTTTTTACATTATTCAAGTGTCAACTAATGTCTCCAAGAACGGTGATGCGTTACGACTTCTTTTTGGCACGTCATGGCTACATTGAATAAAGGTTCGCCGTGCCTGGCCAAGGATATGTCCTTGTAAAGTAATCGATGAAATACACTGCAAGTAGTCGGCCGTTAATTGACGGAGTTTACCAGGTAGCTACCGATTCATCAGTCCTGTAGTCGCTCCCCGGTACTGCAGGGTAGCTTACTTTAAGTACATACATACATATGTATGTATGTGAGTGTAAAGATTTGCTTATAGTGCGGGCATTCATTCATAGTTCTACACAAATTGTATTAAGTCCCACCACATTGTGTAGAAGCATTCCAGAGCCAAAGCATTTCAATAGGTTATTGCGATGATTGCATTGCCAATAGATTGGTGCAAAATTGAGGTATGAAGGCTGCATGTGTACATACATATGTATACCCATTAGAGTGGTCCAAAAAAAAATCCGAGATTGCTTTCGGGACACCATTCAAAATATTTCCACTTGCTGAAAGGTGCTGGCACCAATCTTTACGTTTCTCTGTATAAATTTAGAGGGTAATCCTGAAATGTTTATATTTTACTCTAGAAGTATATTGTACAATTGGCTAAGCAATCTAAGATAATTTCAAATTTAAATTAGCTGAAAAAATATTACAAGCTTCAGTTGTCATGGCAAAAGGAGCTTTTTATAAAAATTATAAATATTTTTGTTAGTTACCAAATGATTAAGTAGCGCAATTTCAAGGACATTACGTACCATGTATTGGTTACAGTAGAAAATTGAAAGTTGGTATAGTCGATACAAATACCAAAAAGAAAAAATTAAGGGGTGCCCCTTTTCTGCGAAGACATTTCAATCCAAAAGTGACAATTCGATCATTCAGATATTCCATATCATTTATTTACTCATTGGATTGGTCATCGCCAACGAGTAAACTTTCTTTGAGTAACCTCCCTTTGAGTAACACCTGGTTATGCCTTGGCTCCAAAAGAGAGATCTGCAGAATGGTACTTTCATTGATGGATGGACATTGATGACAGCAGAGGAAGTCGATTAGACTTAGAGCCTAGTAAACGAATACTAAACAGAAGACTAGGGATAAAACGATACCATGTAGGTATCGATACCTTTACTTGAAAGCAGTGTCGTAAGAAAGTATCAATACACGAAAAATATCGGATCTAAAGCATCGATACCTACTCGTATCGCAATGCAGTTTTAAAACCATATTTCTTTGGATTTTAATTCTTTTGACTTAAGAACAGCTTAAACAAATACTTTGAATAGATCTTTTGGTACTTAGCCGCCACCAAACTGATTTCCTGATGAAAGAAGAGCAAAAATATCTGTTAAAAAAGTTCATTTTATACTGGTTTCAGGAAAAAATTTACGTCTTCAATATTTGAAGGTCGCTGGCGACTAAAAAGCGATAAAGCACTGTGAGATTTATATTAGTGGAGGAAAAAATTCCGAAAGAAAATTCGCCTACTCAGTACTTGGTTCGAAAGTATAGATGCCAAAATTACTTGGTATCGTTTCATCCCTACAGAACACTGAAATGGCATCTAAGCTGCTCTAAACGCCTAGAAAACCTTGTGAGTTCAGGCATCGTTGCAAATTTGAACCTTTGAGGGCACCGTGACACAGTGGTGTTGGCGATCCGGGGGTTTGTTGCAGCAGTGTTTAATGGGATCGGAGCCAATAATAGGACCAAACATAGCGGAAGCCGAGAGATACATCAGAGATCGCATGACTGAGAATCATGAGAACCGTTGTTGCAATACTCCACCACAAAAAAATAACCACAGGTTTTCTGAAAAAAGCTAGACAAGGTGGTGGCGAGAGGGATTCAGCTACGAGCCCTAATAGCACTGATTAAGGGGAATCGTTGACCTTATTTAGAGGATGAGCATAGTACAGAGAATTTTTTCTGCCGATGGCCGGCCTTTGCCTGACTGAGATGGGTTTTAGGTCGGACGTATTGAGACTGGACGAGTTACATGCTTTTTCCGTCGTAAAACTACTGAGATTCATAAAAGGGCATTAAGTAAAAGACCAGGTCTGCCCAGTGCTTGGTGAAACATTTTACATTTTCCGGCAAATTTCATTCCGCTCTATTCTATTCCATTCCATTTCATTTCAAAGAGAACATACACAATGGGAAGCTCTAATTGAATGCTTGTTAAATCGTTTTGGGTTTTCCTACTAATTCCACTCCATTACATATGATTCCAAAGAGCAAACATACGCGGAGCAGTAAAATCTGGTTCTCGCTGTTTTTTCTGTGGCCGGGTTTTCTGGTCTGTGTCTATGCGATTTTGTGTGGAAGCAGATATACATGTCTAATTTGTCTAAACCACTCGTAAATGCAATTATGTAACTCTCCTAAACTGGATGAACGGTGAACTACTGGTCCTAAAGCCTCGATGTTACAGCAGGCTTTGACATCGATGAACCGACTTTCCAAGATCTTTACAGCATAACACTCCTATACTAATTGGACGAAAGTAAACGCACTTGTTCGAACTTTCTCCTTCTGTAACAGCTAAGTGTAGGGTCATTGGGTCAGAGATTTCCGAAAGCTGCTCGCAGTGAAGCTGAGGTAGTAAAGCATTCCTGAAGCTTCGCTAAATCTGATGCATCTACGCAGAAGGTAATTTTGCCCCAAATTTGGGAGAACTCGACGTCTGTTAGGGAAAAATGTCAAACGTAAAAGAGTATTCTACAACATGCGAAGGCAAGAGCGGTTCCAATGGAAGGAATATAGTCGCCGGATGCCGAAATCATAAAGAAACCATGAACAGCAATTGCCTTACTGGAAACGACAGGGGTAAGCGACTTCAAAGCAGCAATGGCTTTCAATGAAAATAAGTTATACAACTTTAATTTCTACAGCTAAATGATGAATGAAAATCCTCCGAAGCTGAGCCCTGCTTTGGTCACCAGGCTTCAAAAAAGAGCTGGAAAGGAAAAAAACGAAGATCTCATTGATCTTATGTTCTGCCTTTCAACGCCACATTGCAATTTGCGACCAATTTCACTCTGTAGAGAAAGTTTGCTATGAAAAATTGGTTTCTGTTGAAAGAAGCAAAGTTTTCTTTTTCTTTCGAATTTATTCTGGATCGCCCTAGTATACACACATACATACATGCTGCACATTCAATATCCTTTCCCAACATTTCACTCCAGGTTTGCATTCGCAAAATAGGTCTGTTGATATTTCATCAGTAACCAGCTTCCAACTATGCAACAAGCATTAGCAAGCGAGCTACAGCTACCTAGTACACGCTTACATAAATATTTATCCACGAAGGTGCACATTTCTATGTATATATGTACATACATACATATTCACACATATTTAAGCATTTTATTGATTGCTTGCGAAGGAAGAGCAATAAAGCACAGGTAATCCAACATAATGGGATAGGTATGAACTTACTATGTGTTGAATGCGATTTTTTAGAAATATATTTGAAAAATACATAGTTGAAAATGTGTACATAGCATGCATGTATAATAGCATGCAACTAGGAAGAGGTGTAGTTGTTTTTATAGCGATATGTAATTAAAAAAAAATGATTTGTAATGCATTTTTTCAAGTTCAAAGACCATGTAATAAGTGTTGATAAATCAAATTTATTGAGTTTGAATTATAAAAAATACGTTTGATTTATAATATGTATGCTAGAGCTTCATTTGCGTTTAATGCTGTGTAACGAGGCGTATGAGTAATATTAATTTTCACATAAAATGTTCATTCGAGTATGAGTGCTTTGTGATTCATAATTGACACGTCAAAGGGTAATTTCGTTTAACATATTTTCCCTTTTTTACATGAAATAACATGTGCACACTTTTTTTAATCTATTTTAGAAAAAAAA